CAACTTTGCCTTGTTCCAGGTATACGATGTCCCATCATCTCTTGTCTCAGCTGTGCAACGTCGTCACAGTTGATCTCGACTCTATGGATCCCGCAGTGGCCCAACGTCACGGACAGTACACCTTCACAGATATGACTTCAAATCAAGCCATCGTGTACAATCAGGCCACACATCCGGAGAATAAATCGCTGGTGCTCGAGGCTATCGAGTACGTGCACAACATTCACACCATCCCTGCTGCAAGTGCGTCAGATACTGGGGCCCGCTTACGAGAAGTGCTCAATGTCGTGGTACGTATTGACTGGTATGGTAGTATCAGCATTGATGGAAGTTGATCATCGTCAAGGCTGTCCGCATGGCACATCTCGTATATCCACATCTAAAGGGCAAGATACTTGTGCAGACGTCGCCTAGCGTCTCATATGATGCTGAAGAGACGATCGCCGCTCATGCCCGACGTATCGTCGATTTGTTTGAGGCGCATGGCATTCCCAGGTTAGAACTTCCTTTTCATTTATTACTGGTGTGCTTACAGATTTATTAGTGCCCAAGTCTGTGTCAAGATACCCGCGACATCCGCAGGCATCGCGGCGTGCTACGCTCTTTCATCACCTGATTCGGATTCCGGCTTCGCTCCAATCAATACACTTGTGAGACTTCTGTCTTCTCCGTTGCTCATGCCCGTGCTGCGGCTCAAGCAGGGTGCGCCTATGTCGCCCCTTACTTCAATGGTCAGCCCGACTGATACACTATCCATTGACTAACTCGTGAGCCGTAGAACTCCGGTACACTTCGATGATACCACCTGGGTCAAGTACACCGATCCGAGCAAGGAACATCCTATGTTACCCGTTATCGCTTCGATCATCGCTGCACTGAAGGGTTCTAACACCCTCGTCATGCCCGCCAGGTACATCTTGTGTTTGTGATGCTCAATAGGTAGCCCTCCGTCCAGACCACATTACCATTCCTGCCCCGCTCCTTGACGAGCTCGCTGCTGCCCCAGCCATCCCAGAAGCGGATCTCGCGCCCATCGTTCCAAGTAGGTCCATGGTCCCCTTGACCATATATGCTAGTGACAGTTTGGAATAGCTTCTAGTACGCTTGAACACATCGAATTTCTCGCCAATGATCGGGATGCACTCGTCTCAGCCCTGAAGGCTGACTCAGACGTTGATCGTCGTATAGACGATGCGACCAGCTTGTTCGCAGACTGCGAACTCCGTACGATGGAGTATACACTGGTGCCCTGACCCTTGGTGTGAAGTGGGATGGCAAGACACTCTGGAACTGAAAACTTCGGTGCTCATCAACGTCGGGGTTGGTCGATCTTCGAGAAAGGGTACGCATCACACATTGTCAATCCCTCTTAGCTCAGTGGTAGAGCGCGTCACTAGTAACCCTGGTGTTATGACGAGGTCAGTCGTTCAAGTCGGCTAGAGGGAATCGTTTTACCCCATGTTCATAAAAGAAATTTGACTAGCCCATACCGCCGTTATATCCTACGTATCACCCAATGTCAATCCCTCTTAGCTCAGTGGTAGAGCGCGTCACTAGTAGCCTCTCATTGGTTATGACGAGGTCAGTCGTTCAAGTCGGCTAGAGGGAATCGGACATGGAGTTGGCCTCTTGGTGTTTACTTTTGC